TTTCCACGCATATGGCAAAGAACTCGATGCAACCAGTCTGTAGCTGCAAAAAATCCTTCTCAAGGTTGGAGGATTCCAAGGCGTCTTGGTCCGCATTCAAGATATGCAGGCAAAAGGAGGCCGTTGAGACAAGCGCTTCGCCGACACATTCAATGTCGAGACTGGAGGAAAACGGCACAAAGTGGCATGCCGCGTACAGCGCCGCTCTGGCTCGCCGGATTCTACTCTTGCTTTCATTCTCGGAAAGCGCAGCATCTCCTTTGGCGAAATCTAGGACTCCCAAGAATGCAGGAAGACAAATGCGTTCAAAACAAGAAGCTCCACCAAAAGAGAACCCCGCCTTGTCCTCGTGGAAGGGAAGGCATCTACCGGCGACTTCCGCAGCCATCTGACGCTCCTCCGCCACAAAGCCATCGGATTCTTTGCCATTCGTTGTCGATGCTCCTGTGATATCCAGTCTAGCAGCAAGGTGGTCTGCAAGGTTCTTGAGCAGCCCGTTCATTTCTTCCTGATTGTGTGAATCATCCGCCGTTGACAGGTAGGCTCCATGGCAGAGCTTTGGTGGCGCCCGTCGCAACAGCAAAAGGGGAGCCAGACGACCAAAGATTTCGGACCCTTTCGTAGGGCAAGAACTTGCATCTCCAATCGGCTCTACTACGCGACAAATGGAATCGAGTTGGGACACTGCGGTTTGGATCATGGACATGGCCGCATTCCACACAACTTCCTTCCTTGTGCTGCTTGAATTGGGACCTACTAGATTGCCGCAATCATCATCGAACTTGCTACCATCTCCCAAAAGTGCGCCCAACAGAGCCAACGGGACAGTGCTCGATGGATGCTGGAACATGGAACTCCCAACAGCAGATAGCACCATCCCCAAGGCTTTAGCATCGTCCGAACTATCGACATCCCACAGCGAGTGCATCCACGCCTCGCCAACCCGAGTCACGATTGCTGTAGCTTGTGACGCACTGGTGGAAGAAGAAATCACGGTTTCCACCAGAGTCTTTTCGTTGCCACAACGAAGGCTCCTCCACAGAGAAGTGGTCAAGAGGGAGAGCAGCAACAGCGAGGATTGCTGTGGCGAATTGTTATTGTCCAGAGCGGTGTCTTTTAATGACAGCAGTAGTCGGATCTGTCTGGAAACGACAAGACGAAAGGAGCAACCCACAAACAGATCCACATTGTCGTCGTTGGCACGACCAAGGTACGTTCGTACGTTCGGGTTGGTGTGAAAGTTGTCCAAGAGCAGGTCGCACGCCACATAATCCAGCAGACTTTGTCGTTTCGGTGCACCATCATCTGATTGAATATTGTCGCCAGTCTTTTTCAAGAACAGGAAAAGAACTTGCACCGTGGAAGGTTTCATCATCGTGTCATTGGCATTATTATTTTGAGCCACCATGTATCGGATGATTGCTTGGGCCGAATCTGGAAAGTCGGTACTGATATAGTGGATGGACGTTGCCACGAGTTCGGCGAGTTGCTGAATGGCGGTTTCGTTCGGAGTCGAGTTGTTGGATGGTGTATCGGCTGGTTGTTGTTGTTGTTGTGGTGCGTCGTCTTGCTGGGCGGTTGGATCTTGCCCTAATAGCAATTGCATCCAGAACCGTAAAGATTCTGGAATCTGTTGTGGATCGTCCTCCTCGTCCACACTACCGTCACCGGTGCCGTTGTTTTCGTGAAAGGCCACCACATCGGGAGGTACGAATGGTACCCCAGATGACTCTAGCCCCGACATGTTCCTACGGCATTTCAACAAAAAGCAAATAAACCAAGGACGTGAGAAACATCCCACAAGGTTGTGACAATAAATAGAGTCGGCCACAAGAATGCACTTACAAAATGTGCATGGCCAGTGGCACAATGGAATCCAATGACGCGTGATACATGATTCTGCTCATGAGCTCCACAATTTCTTGTGGGTCCTGCCAACCAAGGCAATTCTTTTTGCTGCTCCCCAACCATGCAACGACACTGCGCAGAATCGCCAGAATGACATGGCTATCGTTGTGGATTTTGTGTATTGTAGTCATTTCCCCCAATATCAATACCCGAACATCTCCCAATGTCATTATTTCGTCACGGCACAGCGTTTGACCAAGACTGCCAATAATCGTACCATGAATTCCCAGACGATCTGGTATTCCCCGGAGGTGCTGGCACCACGTGGAATGCACCTCCGTTGTATTCATATTGTCGATGTCGTTTTGTTGTTGCAACTCGATAAACGACTGTTTCCAGCTCTGCAATACGAGACTGGTACATTGTTTGCGAGCCGCCACTCGTTGTCCAGCAGTGTCATTGTCAATGTTGTTGGACAACAACAATGATGTTGGCGGCGTGGTCCATGCCAAGTGGCGATCCCATACCGGCACGAGCACTTGTGCAGACAGATCCCAGACTTGTTGTTGTGTAATGCTGGATGTACCTGTTGTGACTGCTGTGGTAGATGCCAAGACAGTGACCAATTTGTAGATTGTCACTAGACACTGTTGTACCAAAACGGTCCGCGTCGTAGTAGTAGTAGTGGTGGTGACGATCTGTCCCAGCAATTGTATGGCCTGGATCAAGTGGAGTGGTGGTGTCATGTCCTGACTGGCAAAAAATTCCAAAATGACGACGGCTCCCAAGGTCCGTCGGCGATCCTCATGCGACGGCAATAATAATAAGTACGAGACAAAGCTGTCCCACGCATTGCAAGTCTGAAGCAACGCCCATCCCAGACGCCGTTCCGCCAATTCCGGTTGGTCGAGGAGAATGTCCCAACACACAGTGTGGTAGAATGCTGTTGTATCGAGCGATTCACAAAATGCGTGTGCCACACTCTGCCATTGTCGTCGTGGTTGGCGTCGTCGTCGGAGCGACCAGAGAGTTCGATCCAATTCTTTTTGCCATTCCAGAAATGTAGGCGATGTCTCTTGGACCTTTTCTTTTACTGATATTGAGTGTCGCGTGGCATGGGAGTCCACTTCCACCAGTTCCATGGAGGAGGATTCTGCATTCTCAAGGTCGTGTTGGAGCACCGGTAGAAGCGTGGATTGAAGCGTGGATGAAAGCGTGGAAGTATCATTGTGGTGGTTGTCGTCGTTTGCTGCGGATGCAACAACTTGAAGAAACTGACTTGTCGTATTTGTATCATGAGTACTGCTACTCCCTACTAAAGAACAAGAAGAAGAAGAAGAAGTACACACCGCTTCCTCCAAATCCAACAATGCGGCACTCGACGACGGGATTGCCGTTGCTTTCTTCACAGTAGTCTTTGTCTTTTTCTTCTTGGGCTTGTCCAGCAGGAAACCACGCTTCATTCCAAAACCAGCATCTTTCTTTTCTTTCTTTTCTTTCTTGTCCTGCGCTGAAGCTGATGCTGATACCAATACATGCTGTTGTCGTCCCTCGCCCATCTCAACAGCTACCGTATTGGCATACCGGTATGCATTGCTTAATTGTCGACATGTGTGTGTTGGGGTCTCTCTTGACTGTGCTAGTGTGCGACTGTTGATTCAGAGAAAGCATGCAAAAGCCCGACTGGAAAGATCGATGAACCACAGCACAACAGCATAAAGAACAGCCACATCAGTCAACACCCTGTCTGAAAAGATCCATCGTGCATGCAGATCTGGTTTGTACTCTCTCAAACGTTACCATAATTTAATCGAATCAATTAATCCATCCGTCAAAAGGAAATTGAAAGTGCCTTGTCTCTTTTGCCTGCGCTGGTGCTTGTTCCGTCATTCTGAATTTTTCGACCCAAAACTCAAATCCCACACAACACGCATTCGACAAGGTTCCATATCCCGTACCGTCAATCTCATTCTCAGACCTGTTTTCTAATTGCCTTTCTTTCTGATGGATGCCAAAGGAGATCGCCAGGAAGGTGAGGTGGGGACCTCTCAGCACTCCTCACCCAAGCAACCGAAAGGGAATGAACAACAAGAGAAATCAGCCGTTGAACCTGGGTCAAAGTCGGCCGACCAGGATCCAGCAGCCTCTCAGAACCAAATGGACACGGCTTCTCTACCGGATGATCATGATGTTGCTACGCAATCACCAACGGCACCCGAGCTTGGCGCTGCTTCAATTCTGAACCAAATGAAAAGGACTTCTCGAACCAGGGATAATGCCATTGCTATGCCTTCCACCAAAAAAGCCAAAACCAGCCTCACAGAGGAATCCCCAACCACAGAACCCAAGCTGGACACTCTAGGAGTCAGTGTCTTCCATTTGGAGCACTTCTTCCTGGAAAAAGAAGTCTGTGCTTCCAATCATGCCAAAACAGGAAATCCACTCTCCAGAGACTCCAACATTTATGACATTGAAAACCTAAAAGGTCTTCCTGGTGTCATCCGATCAAAGAGTGCCAACTCTGTTTGCCCACTAGACAAGAAAATGGGTGCTGCCTATGTACACTGTCTAGAAGGCAAAGACCATGTTGGAGAGGCAACTCAAATGCTCAGCTATGCTTGGGACTACACGATCGGAGATATTGTGGATACCCTCACTGATTTCTGCCACAAACACGAGCTTGACCCCAAAAGAACCTATATCTGGATCTGCTGCCTCTGTGTCAATCAGCATAGGGTAGTAGAAAAGTTCAAGTCAGGTGTGCTGGTCCCCACCCATGAATTCTTTGATATCTTTGGACACCGAGTCAAAAAGGTTGGCCACCTTCTGGCCATGATGGCTCCATGGAACGCACCTGCCTACATCACTCGAGTTTGGTGCATTTTTGAGATGTTTACGGCCCACACAACAGATGCCTGCGAGGTGGATATTGTCATGCCACCAAAGGAAAAGAAATCACTAGAGCAGGATGTTCTTAATAATGGAGCAGGCATCAATGCTCTCTACAAGACGCTTGGCAACACCAAGGTTGAAAATGCAAAGGCATCTGTCAAAAGTGATAGGCTGGCTATTCTTGGTCAAGTAGAATCAACTGTTGGATACTCTGTGCTCAACAATCGAGTCAATGACATGTTGCGTGGATGGATGCTAGGTGTCTTGACTCAGCTGGTGGAAACCAGAGAAAACACATATGATGAGGACTATGCCGCCTTTTGCAACCGAATTGGAAATATTCTCAAGCACAATGGAGAACACGTTGCGGCCATGAAACTCCACAAGACTGCTCTTGAAATTTGTGAGGCCGTTTTTGGTGAGAATCATCCTGAAGTGGCCACAACCCAGAGCAACATTGGCTCTGTCATGCTGCATATGGGTGACTATGAAGGTGCTTTGGCAAAGCACAAACGAGCTCTTGCCATTTACATGTCAGCACATGCCAAGAATCATCACGATGTTGCAACGGCCTACATCAATATTGGACAGGTACTGCATGAAATGGGTGACTATGAAGGTGCTTTGTCCAAGTTTGAGGAAGCTCTTGCCATTCAACTGTCAGCATTGGGTCAGAATCATCCCTCACTGGCAACCACCTACCACAATATTGGTTCTGCCCTGAAGGCAAAGGGTGACTATAAAGGTGCTTTGTCTAAGTACAAGGCATGTCTCGCTATTCGATTGTCAGCATTGGGCAAGAATCACCCCTCAGTAGCCACCATCTGCAACAATAGTGGTTCTGTGCTAGAAAAGATGGGTGACAAGGATGGTGCTTTGTCAAAGTATGAGGAAGCTCATGCCATTAGATTGTTAGTACTGGGAAAGAACCATCCTGCTGTGGCTGAAACTTACAACAATATTGGGGTCATCCTGGGCAAGATGGGTGACAACGATGGTGCTTTGGCAAAGCAAAAGGCAGCTCTTTCCATTTATTTGTCAGTGCATGGCAAGAATCATCCTAAAGTGGCGGTGATCAACATGAACATTGGTTCTATCCTGCATAATATGGGCGACAACGAAGGTGCTTTGGCAAAGTATGAGGAAGCTCTTGCCATTCGATTGTCATCGTTGGGCAAGAATCATCCTTCAGTGGCAATCACCCACAGCAACATTGGCTCTGTCCTGCAGCAGATGGGTGACTATGAAGATGCTTTGTCAAAGCACAAGGAAGCTCTTGCCATTAAATTTTCAGCATTGGGCAAGAATCATCCTGATGTGGCAACCACCTACAGCAAAATTGGCTATGCCCTGGAAAAGATGCGTGATTATGAAGGTGCTTTGGCCAAGTATGAGGAATCTCTTACCATTCTATTTTCAGCATTTGGCAAGAATCATCCCTCAGTTGTCAAAACGTACCACAATATTGGGCATGTGCTGCGCGACAAGGGGGACTATGAAGGTGCTTTGGCAAAACTTGAGGAAGCTCTTGCCATTCAATTGTCAGTACTTGGCAAGAATCATCCTTCAGTGGCAATCACCCACAGCAACATTGGCTCTGTTTTGTATAAGATGGGTGACTGTTCTGGAGCCTTGTTGAAATTTGAGGAGTGCCTTGCCATTCGGGAGCAAGCTTTGGGATCAGATCATTCAGACACCAAGAGTTGCCTGAAACAGATTGAAATTGTCAAGTCAAAAATGCAGCAAGCTTGATTCTGTGGTTTGTTTGTCAACTCTGTTGTTTAATAGTATTGTAGGTGTTAATTCTTTTCTTCCATGTTTCTGTAGTTGCAGTCTTTAGAAATAGCAAGCAATAAAGTACAGTACCCCAAAAGAAGGCATACAGTAATAGCGCCAGGCATCACATCGGAGAATTATTTTTTAAGCTCGAAGCATTATCGGATACTGTACCGGTAGACCAGCTCCACCTACCTCTCTTTTTCAAGACCAAAGCACCCACAGCAATAATTAATTGCCGCAGCAACATCAACAGTAAATGCCACCGGTATGATAAATGGAAGCCATTTATTTGAAAGAAAGCAGAAGAAGACAGGACAGATTTTGAAATTGATTCATCATTATTGCAAGATGACGGCCCCACTATCAACGTTCATGACGCAATTGCTGGACGAGTCTATAGTTCGTGAAGAAGGGGAGTCGACAAAAGCAACAGCAGCGCTCTACAGTTGCAGCACAGAATCTACCAGTAGCGGTACGATCCACCAAGAATCGAGTACAGTGATTGTGTCAGATAGTAGCATGGAGCAAGAGCAGCAACCGCAAGAGCAACAGTCGCATCATTCCATGCCTCCCTTGTCTCCGGCGTCGTCCTCAGTGGCCGTGGCTCCTCTAACAAGCACAAGTACTTCTAACACAAGCAAGACATCGAATCAGAAGCGAACCGCACTTCGCCGATGCCGTCAGAGTTTCCATCAGTCATTGCCTCCTCCTCCCAAGAAATCTAGTTTGGTGCGCAGCAAAACAGATCCTTCGATTGTGTATGGGAGTGAGTCTTCCTTGTCCACCACCGAACTGACAAAGGCACAAGCACGTAGTGTACAAACACAAACACAAACACAAACACAGACAGGTGTCGAGTTGAGTTCTTCCTTGACCAATTTCATGACGCAATTGCTGCAAGATTCCGATCTTTCTTCGGCCTTTAATCAACAACAACGACAAGAACAAGAAGATGAGGGACTTTCCAAAGGAGCTGCCAATGTCTTGGCCACCGCTGTCCACGTCATGAAACAAGAACGACAGCATTCCCTACAGTCCTGTTCTTGTGATGACAACAACAACAATACTACTACACAACAGCCAAAACAACGACGATCCAGTGACGACTCTTCATCATCATCCATGAGGAGTTACCAAAAAGCCGCCATGGCTTCGTGGGCACGTATGGACGATATTCTCCTAAAACACAATCAACATCACAATCAACAACAAAGCGATCCTTACTCGCTCGTCAAGACCATGGCACAAGTGGGAGGGAATGCCGATTTGACACGCTTGAATTTTATCAATAATAATAACGTTAGCAAACAACAATCGCTACTCGTCAAATCCAATTCCGACACATCCTTATCCTTGGCATCCTTTCAACAACAACAACAACAAACGGCACTCCAAAAATCATCCTCTCAATCTTTGTCACTGACTGGATTACGACAAGAACTCAAAAAATCTGCTTCCTTTGGAAATTTGCGACACGCCATGACACGCTTGAAATCCAATACGAATTTATTGGAAGCAGTCTCGGTCGATTCTAGTTACTATGATGACAATGATGACGACGACACGGACGAGCGAGAGACAGATCACGAAGCGAGCAAGACCGATATGGATTCGTCGTCGGCACTGCATCACTCGACAACTACAAATGATCCTACTAGTACAACAATGAAATCACCCAGCACTGTTACCAAAAAAAAAGACGACAAACAAAAGGCGAGACGGACACGATCTAGGGAACAAAAGAAAAAGTCTTTGTCATCCAAAAAACGAGCCAAAAGTGTCTCCCACAACAACAAAAAATCAACTTCCAAACCTCCCGTGACGAAACGACCCACATCCGTCGATACGGCGACGGGCGGTCGTAGTAGTAGTAGTGGTGTCAGTCCCAGAACACGATCTGCCTCCACCGGTAGAGGACGAACTCCCAGTGTACGACGACGACAGCAGCCTTCCAAAACGAGTAGTAGCAGCGACAACAACCACAATAATAACAAGAAAACCAAGAGAACTTCCAGCAAGAGCCACCAAAAACAACATTCGTCGTCATCATCAAAATCGAGAACGGCCACACGAAGTCCCAGTATCAGTCGAATACAACAACAACAACCCATAGAATCACAGCGCAGTCGCAGTCATAGCAAAACACCCAAACGACGACGATCCACGGCTGTACATTCGAAAATGGACGAATCGTCGGGAATGAGAGACAAGAGTCGGTCTAGACGAACCAGGGGGGCTGGGATGGACGAATCGTCCAAACGGGATACGACGAGTAGCATGAGGGATCACAGTATGGGACGATCCAGTCGTCGGACGTCTACCACCATGAGAACAACTACGGATGTACCTTCCACACCACGGGTCAAGAGTCCCAGTACACGAAACAGTCGCAGAGCATCCAGGACCACCAGCAACAACAACAACAACGATGAAACAATTACCAAAACACCCAGTGGACGCACTCATAAACGAGCATCGGTGGCGGCCAATAATAAAGCACGCAGTCCCAGTGCCACACGGACCCGACGGTACACCGAGTCACCACGGACACCCCGTACGCCCAAGACACCCAAAACACCCAGTGGAAGACGCAAGGAAAAACTCAGTGCCAGGAGCAAATCCTTTGATGGACCACAACCCGATAATATCACGGCAACACCCAAAAGTCAACTGCGACGAGCCAAAACCGCCGAACCCATTCCGGCCACCAGAACGCCATCGTCCAGTCGCCGACGGAATAGTATTGCCAACAACAATCACAACAATGCACCACCACAAACACCCTTGTCGCGTCGTCGCAACAGTTTGACGGGAAGTAGTGTCGCCATCACACCACGCAATCATCATCCGCGCGGTAGTAGTACACCCCGTATTACGCGTCGTGCGGGTGTGTCCAAACCACCGCGACGACAACAAAGTGATCCAGCGCCACTACTCGTCCACGCGGGGGTTGCGTTGGCGGAAGAAGCTGCCGCGGCCGCCAAGGAAATGGAACGACGGCGACTGCGATCCAAATCGGTGGGGCAACAACAACAACAACAACAACAACAAAGCAACAGCAATGCAAAGACGAGTAGTAGTAGTAATAGTACCGGGAGTTCCTATCGTCGGGGAATGCAAAAACGAAGCAACTTTCAAGCCCAACAGGTGTTGCGGCAAGCACTGATTGAAGAGATCAAATCCAAAGAGGAGGAGACAACGACGACAATAAGCACAGTCAATAAAAAGCAGCTACTGACAGACGCACCTGTCGACGGTGTCAAGGAGGCGGCGTGGATTTCCAGGAGAAAATCTCGTTTGTTTCATCAACAGACTCCTGGATTTGAAGTGCCGGGAGTGCAGAGTTAACTTAGAAACTGACTGCGTGCATGCGGGAGCGCGTGTGGTCTAAAGTTAGCATGGCTAGCTAGCTAGCTAGCTAGCTAGCTAGTGAGGGGCGTTGTCTAGCTAGCAGGCTTTATTTAACCGCCTTTTGCTTTGAGAAGGCTCCCGTCAACCAACGAATACTAAAACACAAACAGCACAGCCGGCAAACAAACCACAGAATCAAGGTGACTGAGGTGGGGATACATCACCTTGGTTAGAATAGCCAGCCTGTCACTTTCTTCAGATGCCTTGGCATTTTCAACTTTGGTGTTGCCAAGTGTCTCATAGAGAGCATTGATGCCTCCTTCGTTATCAAGAACATCCTGCTCTAGGGATTGCTTCTCCCTAGGTGGCATGACAATATCCACTTTGCACCCACCAGTCCTGTGAGCTGTAAAGATCTCAAAAATACACCAGACTCGAGTGATGTAAATGGGTGCTTTCCATGGAGCCATCATGGCCAGCAAATGACCAATCTTTTTGACTCGTTCTCCAAAGATGGAAAAGAAGTCTATCTTGGCAGGGGCTGTCATTCCAGACTGGTCGTTGGCATTGTTGTCCACCACCCTGTGCTGATTCACACAGAGACAGCACATCCAGATATAGGTTCTCTTTGGATCGAGGTTGTTCTGTAGGCAGAAGCCTGTTAGAGTATCCACAATATCTCCAATCGAATAACCCCAGGAATAGCTGAGCATATGAGCTGCCTCTCCAACATGGTCCTCTCCTTGTAGAGTGTGTACATAGGCAGCACCCATTTTCCCATCGATTGGGCAAACAGTTTTGGCACTCTTTGTTCGGATGACCCCAGGAGGACCTTCTAAATCCTCAATTTCATAGATGCTGGAGTCTTTTGAAAGAAATTTTCCTGTTGTGGCATTCTTTTTTGCCATTCCAACTTCTCTCTCCAAGAAGATATGTTTGAGGTGATGGACGCTGACTGACGCCAAGAGTATCTAGCTAGCCAGGTGCCCATCCATTACACCTTTTGGTTGCTTTGGGATTGGGGAGTTCTGAGAGGTCCCCTTGCGTTGCTGTAGATTTGCTGGAGCATCCATTTCTTCTGGCTGCAAGTATATAAGTCCGAGGACACAAAAGTGGAACGGTTCGGGCACTTCAAAATAAATTGTTAATGGGATGTGGATCGAGCGCAGAATGATGTACGGTGCCGTACCGGTATGCTCGAGCACCTCCCTCTTTGTTTATCTGTTTGATGGATGGCTGGATGGATGGATGGATCGATCGATCGATCGATCGATCGATCGATATTATGGGCAACGATCGATTGTGCAGACAACAACAGCATCTGTCTGGCCGGTAAATATAAATATGCATGAAGATCAAAGCACGACGGTCTGATCTTTTCAGACGGGGTTTCAGACGGGTTTTCCAACCCGAAAATCCTGGCCTTTCAAAGGTTCATCCACAAGCCACTGTGGAATGCAGGTAGATGCGGTAAAGCCAAATCTTTATAGAAATGTTTAGACAGGCAACCATTACCGCAACTACTAGTACTTTTTCTAGGCTAAAGTTCTCGAACTGACGTCAGTCCGCTCGCACACTTGTTCCATGATGCCCCTCTCCACAGCCCCAGATCACGAAGCATGAGCTTCTCACAATTAACCACAATCTCAATCTCTGCTCCATTATTATTATTGACCCATTGACGTACCGGTACAAAACCATGGGCAAATCATCGAAAAAGGGCGGCGGCAATAATAAGGGAGCTGCTGCTGCTGCTGCTCCCAAGAAGTGTATCTGTGATCATCCGTACAATTGTGACTGTGGGAATCGTCCGGAACGTCCTTCCAGAGGCCATCGATGGGATCCGGAAACACAGCAATGGGGCGGCAAAGGTCACAAACAAAAAGGTGCATCGGGTCAAACGGCCTTGATTTCGCAAGCCGCCAAAACGACCGAGTTAGGTAAGACCCAAATTGAACAATGGCAACGGTTGCCGTCGACACTCCTCAAGGAATACTGTCAACGGGAAAAACGACGACCTCCCAAGTTCAAGAATATCAGTAAGATCAACAACAGCACAAGTCTGTATCGCGTCATTTTACCCGATGCCAAAGATCCCAATAAAGACCTCTTCTTTGTCCCCTCCAAGGGAGTCCCCAATGCCGAACAAGCCATGGAAGAAGCCTGTATTCTGGCACTGCTGCATCAAACACCCAAACTACCGCACGAACGCAAATTGCCAGAACCTTACAGGACTACCTGGTTGCATGCCATTCAGAACAACAAGACAAATAATAATGAAACGACGACCAAACCAACAACATCTGACAACAATCAGAATAAGAAACCACCGTCATCATCTTCAGGCGGTGGAGCCCAAGCATCGACGTCCTTGACGAGTGGCAAAAAATTCATTAGTAGTGCCGATCAACGGCAACATCAAGACGAACGCAAACGACAACGGGCCAAAAAGATTCGACACTATGAAGCCCTTCGCATGGCCAATCAAAATCATCCCGTCTTTCTCGCGGCACATTTGCGCAAGGACATTCAAACATTGTTGCGAGGCGACACGGTTGTCATTGTCGACGATAATAATGACAATGACATGCCAGAAGATGAAGAAGAGAATGAAACTACGACACTGATCAATGATGGACATGCCTATGTCCTCAATCGGTTGCGGCAGGAAGGATTCACCAAGCGACAAGTCATGGCAGCATTGCAGAATGTTACTGCTGCCAAAAACAGTGAAGACGAAGAAAAGTGGGATGCCTTGTACGAAGAATGTCTCCAATGGCTCTGTATTCATCTCGATGAAGATCAGTTGCCCGAAGGATTTGATCCACGGGGAGGAACACTCGATGTCATTGTCAGTACCAAACAATCACAATCACAACCAAACAACAACAATACTAATAAAACCACAGCAACAACACCAATCAGTCCACAAGCATCCCAGTTGGCATCCCGATACGGTATTACACCCACCGAAGCAGAGCGAATCGTACAACAAGCCGACAATAATCAGGCTCTAGAGGCAATCTTGTACAAGACATTTCAAACGGCGGCGGGAACGCCCTTGGTACCATTATCCGACGCTAGCACAACCCCCAATGACCACGACAATCGGCAAACACTCCAAGACGAAATAGAAGCACTGGAAGCGATTTATCCCTCCGAATTCACTTGTCGGCAAAACAAGGACGGAGAAACCATTTTGACCATTCAAATGGACAATGGCAGGACGCTTCAAGCGGTCGTACAAGAAGGAATCTATCCCATGGCATTTCCCACCCGCATTTTGGTGGCGGGGTTGCCACCCTCCACAGGAGCGGCCGTACATGTGCAACTCCTCACGTGGTTGTCATCCACCAATATTGAATTGGGAAATCCCATGATGTTTGAAATCTACGGACACGTCCAGGAACTCATCGAAGACGCCGTGGCGGGAGAATTACAGCCAGTCTCACTCTTGTCAGTACTGGGTGGTGGTGGTGATGATAATGATATTGATAATAATAACACCAATGGAACTGGAACTGTCAAACCCAAACCGGAAACGAAACAGCAGAAACAACAACAACAAAAACCATCGTCATCACGGCCAAGGACTCGTCCAAAGGCACGGCCACGAGTACGGTCCACATTTTGGTCCACGTCGCCTCATAAAACGACACCTGCCACGGCGTTTCCCAACATTGGCAGAGCCATGGACCAGGCGCGAAAGTCCTTGCCGGCTTTCAAAGCACGAACCGACTTTTTGAACGCCATGGCCCAAGCCGACAAGGTACCAGCTACGATCATGGATGGATTTATTTGCTCGATTTGGTCTGTCTTACACCAACAATCTCATTCTATTGTTTTTCAAATTTGAACAGGGCGGTCGTGTCATGCTGGTGACGGGTGATACAGGGTACGATCGATCAATCATGCATTTGATTTTGCATAATGCAAGACGCAACTACCGCATGCTATGCCACGCCATATAATGACCTCACATGCATCCCTTGTTGTCGTACCGTACTATCACAGATGCGGCAAGACGACTCAAATTCCACAATTCATTTTAGAAGAAGCACCACTGGAGTCCAAGATTGTCGTGGCGCAGCCTCGACGACTCGCCGCTACCGGAGTGGCTGCTCGAGTTGCCAACGAACGTGGCGAAAATCAGCCTGGTCAAGAGAGTGTGGGATATGTGGTGAGAGGCGACTCGGCTCTTTGTGCCAAGAGTCGACTCATCTTTTGTACTACCGGGGTGCTACTGCGCCAGCTGCAATGTGAAGGAGCCTTGGAAAATATCACCACTATTGTAGTCGACGAGGTTCATGAGCGTCATCTCGATTCGGATGTCTTATTGGGTGAGTAATAGACAGTGTCCTGGTTGCACCGTTTGTTTGTTTGTGGTCGTTTTCACTCATGCATGCTCCATGCGTTCGTTCGTTCGTTCGTTCAGGTTTTCTCAAGCTCAGATTGCGGGACTATCCAAAGTTGAGAGTCGTACTGATGAGTGCCACGTTGGATGCGGATAAGTTCGCCTCGTATTGGGGCCCAAAGACACCCCGAATTCATATTCCTGGTCGAACTTTCCCGGTCACAGATTATCTGCTAGAGGATGTGCTGAGTGTAACTGGCTACATTCCACCAAAGAACAAAAAGAAGAAAAAGTGGCAAGGATTCCAACAACAACAACGGCCCAGGAAGGCTACCCCGTGGAATGATTCCGAAAAGTCAGACGACGAAAGCGACGACGAAGAGGTGGTGCCCTCCAAAACATCCACCGGCAATGGCCCCCATCATGGCATCCCAATTGAAGATCTAGTCAAACGTGTCGATGAAACTGACCTTGACTACGATCTTTTGGGGCGCTTGATTTGCCATTTGGTGAGGACCAGAGGGCCTGAAGACGATGGGTCAATTTTGGCGTTTCTCTCTGGTGCTCCGGAAATCAACAATGCAATGGAAGCGGTGAAGAGGATAGGCCAAAACTTGCCCATACTCGTTCTCCCTCTTCACGGAGGTCTCCAGCCAAAAGATCAACGCCTCGTGTTTCAGCCCCCGCGAAATGGATTGACGAAGGTTATCCTTTCCACGAATGGTACGTCTACAACCTCTTTGTGAATGTCATTGAAGCCCCTGGTAGCCACTCACTTGGAAACTTCATCATCAGTGGCCGAAACTTCCATCACAATCCCAGACTGTACCATTGGTAAGCTCTCCTGGCTAGTTGGACGACTTTCCTCATCTGTTTACATCTCATTTCTTCTCCACCCTGAAAACAAAAGTGATCGATTCCTGTCGCGAAAAACAAAGCTCTTACGACCCGACAAATCGAATGCCCTTGCTTTTGGAGCAATTTGCATCGAAGGCTAGTTTGAAGCAGCGAAGAGGAAGAGCTGGTCGTGTGCGTGAAGGAACGTGCTACAAACTGATTTCCAGGAACACGTTTTCGAAGCTCAAGGAGCACGGGGATCCCGAGATTAAGCGTTGTGCGCTGGATCAAACGATGCTCTCGCTTCTCTTTTTGGGTTTTGGGGCTGGTTTCATGGGTAAATTGATGGACCCTCCATCCAAGCAATCGGTTGATTCGGCCTTGTTTAGTCTCAAAAAGCTTGGAGCAGTGTCTGCAGGCGACAATCTCGCCGACAGTGTGCTCACACCTCTAGGAATGCACTTGGCTGGTATACCGGCACCACCATCAGTGGGAAAACGTAAGTTGTTGGCCTTGACTCGAGCGCTGGACTGCTTCTTGTGAGTGTCTAAAGCATCTGTTTGGTTGGGTCTGCCAGTATTGGTGATGGGGGCGATTCTGGGATGCCGCAAAGCTGCATTAGCCATGGCAGCGGGGATGAGCCTCGGGAGAAGTCCCTTTCTCCGTGTTGACCCACCCCGGGTTAACCGTGGCGGCGAAGAGGACGAGAAAACGTCGGTCGAAAACATCAAGAAACAAATAGTTTTGGATGAGCGCAAGGCTCTGTTCTCAAAAGTCGGAAACAGTGATCACTGTCTACTTGGTACGTCACACTCCTTTGGAGCTACTTTGTGTGTTCTTCTTGTGATCTCTCTCTGCTCACACTGACGTGTTTGCCCGCGAAGCTGCTGTCTACCTGCAGTGGGACGACACTACGCCAGGTGGCGGCGGGCGCAAGTGGCTATGCGACAAACTCGGGCTTGGCTTCAACAGCATGAGAGATATGGTGCAACTTGTCAATCAGTACGATTCAAGTCTTCGAGCCGCCGGCTACACAGCTTCGAAAGATGCCGACCGAAACATGAGAAGTTGGACGATCATCAGAGCCTGTGCTGTTGCAGCTCTGGCTCCCAGCCAACTGGTTCGCATTCAACGATCCACCACAAAGTATGTGGAAACCGTGGAAGGAGCTGTGGAGAAAGACGGAGAAGCAAAGGAGCTCAAGTTCTTCATTCGAGGTAGTATCGAGGAGCAGCAGGAACAAGCTCTTGCCGCATCAAAGAAGTTGGATGAACGTGTCTTCATCCATCCAAGTTCCTTCAATTTCAAGGTTGGCAATTACTACTGTCCATGGGTGGTTTATCACACAATGATTCGTACATCCAAACCTTTCTTGCGCGATGTCTCAGAATGCAGTGCATACTCGCTCCTCTTGTTTGCTGGTGACCTTGAGGTGCAAGCAAACGAAGGCATCGTTGTCATCGATGGCTGGGTCAAACTTGATGCAAAGGCGAGAATTGGATCCTTGGTCGGCGGCCTGAGGCAGCGCCTTGACAGCCTTTTGGCAAAGAAGATTGACGACCCGTCGTTTGAGTTAGCAGGATCGAATGAAATGAAACTCATCGTGAAGCTTCTCGTGTCAGACGGCCACGGTTAGCTTGTGTGATGACAGTTAGAGTTTGTCTTTCGGTTGCTTCCTCCAACACACAGATGTTTCAATGATCCTGAGGGAGCGGGATGGCCAGGGAACTAAATGCCGCCCTAGTGGCACTTACCCCACTAACTGGTCCCCTCCTTCTCTCTTAGCCTTGACCCCCTTCAGAATAATCCAATACTCTAGGCCCATTTATTAACAATTCAATCAACTCAATGCATTGGTTGCTTTTGCCTTTGTCTCATATCTGCTTTGGGGTTGCCCTGCTGCAAGTGGTTTAGTGCATACTGGTGTGCTGCCTTTCCAGGAAGGCCCCGTCATGCGACTTGAAGTCCCGGATCGGTCAAAGTCGCGTAGGATCGCTGAAAGTCGTTCACAAAGTCGCGTGCGAGTCGTGTGCGAGTCGCATGCGACTTTTGCACGACTTTCCAAACGACTTTCAGCGATCCTACGCGACTCTGTCACCTTGCTTATAGTCGTGCGAGAAAGTCGCACGCGACTTTCATGCGACTCTTATGCGACTTTTCATACGACTTTTGATGCGACTTTGATGCTGTGTGCGACTTTATGCTAATTTTTGGCGACCAGCTGTCGCGTGACCGGGCCTTCCAGATCACACACACAGCTCTACGAAACCGTTGCAATTGAGTACACGGTACAGAGTCACGGATCGAGAGGATAGAGTGAATCGAGGATCGGATCCGAGGTAGCTTCTCTCTCACATTGCTCCCGAACACTTCTCCCGAACACTTCTCCTGAACCTCTCAGTAAGAGTATTACTTTCTGAATTATCAGTGAATATAGTCTTCAAGGATTTTTTGCAGACAATTTTTGTGGCCGATTTTTGTACCTTGCGCCGAAGCGCTGTGCACAGCACCGTACCGCATCGTACCGTACCGCGCCGTACGAATTAAAAGCTTGGGGATGGGCAAATCTTGCAATAGCCCTGTATTGTAATGGATGTGACTCGCTAAAATCAGTTAAAAAGACGAAATTCGTATTTTTGCCGGAAGATAAATTTAATTGGATTAGATTGCATTGCATTGCATTGGATTGGATTGAATTGGATTCCAAATAGTACTGTTATTTATATAGTAAACTGTAATTCAATGCAATCCAATCTAATCCAATGCAATCCAATCAAATCCAATAGAGAAAAACAGCCAAAGTAAAAGATTGGCTTAGCGCACAATTTTACAAAAACGCTCGAACAAATTCAACACAGAGCCATGGGCAAGTTTGCTCATCCCCCTTCAGACTTCAGAGATCCAGCATTCAAGGAATGCAATACATGTATTAATTCACCTGCTCAAAACCCTCTGTTGATCTCTGAGGTAATCCAAAAGTTTAAGGGAAAACATAAGTGTAAGGGAAAACATAACGTTTACCTCAAGAATCATGCCTCAGTGGCAACCACCTACCACAATATTCCTTCTGCTCTGAAGGCAAAGGGTGACTATAAAGGTGCTTTGTCTAAGTACAAGGCATGTCTCGCTATTCGATTGTCAGCATTGGGCAAGAATCAGCTACGTTGCTCATGGTATTTCTGATGAGGGTCGTGAAGAACTGTTCAATCATGGCATGCTGTGGGCAGGCATTACTGAAACTACTGATGTGGGAGGTCTGGTTGAGAAGGAGGCAGACAATGATGTGGCAAAGTCAGAGGAGGACGTTGTTGGTGTGCTTGACAGCAGTGCTTTCATCAGTGCGGTTTCAATTTCTCTTCTTGCACCTGTTCTGCTTGCTTCTCTGCTGCTTCTCTAATAGGATCCCAGACACGTATCTGCCGGTGGTACCTGGTACCAGCAGAACGAGACAGTCCCCGAAAAAGGAAAATCGTGAAGCAGAACTGAAATGAATTCATATCCTTAGTATGTTCAATACCTTTGTTTGCGTGTGTTCTCCGCATGGCATAGATGACGAGTGTTTGGTGAGAAGATGGTGTAGGCCAAGAAAGTATTACTGAGATCAGCACTAGACGGATCGTTCGCGGCTCCCGATTAGAGAAGTCGATTAGTTGCGTTCGCTACATCTACGGTGCGGAGTGCATCTTTCCACAGTACTACTGGTGGCCGTGAATAGTGGCTCGAGAGAGAGAGACGGAATAACTAAGACAATGGTTAAGGAGAGAAGGGGTGGTCCCAGCCAGGTTTCGTGTTAGCCGTCTGACAAAATCGGCTAGGTGTCTATCGATAGAGCGAGACTTGGGCTGAGCACAGCCCCGGCTCCTACGTCATCAGAAACGTTTCACTGAAGCCTCGTGGTCGAAGTCGTTGGGAAATTTATTGTGTAACTACCTGGCCATGAACCTCCCAAGTCGTGTGGTGCTTTCCAGCAAAGGACTCGAGTTCTACGAGAGCTCTAACGCAAGCAACGGCTCCTTTGTGGGTTGGAGCTTCACCTTGAAAGAGGTACCATTGTAGGCGAGACTGACATCTGGCCGAGACGGATCAATGCCAACACCAACACCAGGACGAACAAGCACAACATGGATGGTCCTCGTTTTTGCCATACCAGGAAACGGAGTACCGTTCCTTTTGCCAATGGTGAGAATGCTAGAGTCATCATGCCAGCGAAAGGTGATTGTCGTTGTTGGCCGGTAGGGATCTCCCGAGATGCCATCATCCTCAAACAAGACAAACTGCGAATCAGTTCCAGCGTATACCCTGACTTCGAGCGATTGCTCTCCGTCAAGAATGTCATTGACGTGTTGCCGTCCATCCGGTCCCAAAACCAGAATGCTACTCCGGACAAACAGTGGAATTCCATTTCGAGTCATGTTGGCAATGTGGATTGTTTGCGCATCCTTCAATTCTTTGCCCGACCAAAAGCAGCGCCATGTCCCCTTCATTAGCTTGGGAAGATAGACAGTTCGACTCGAGTCAGGGGTGTAAATGGGCGCCACCAAAAAGGAGTCTCCAAACATGAATTGATCCGGAATGGATTGTACAGTGTCGTCGTACCAGAAATCCAACACCAATCCTCGCTGCATCGTGTAGTGTTCCCGTTCGACGCGATCAAATCCCGAGTAAATGTATTCCAGTAGCCGATACCGGAATCGTATGGCCGTGTGGACAATCACGTCTTGCAGTTCCTTCCCATAGTTCCAGAGTTCGGTATTCGAATGGGAACCATGGACGCGGAAAACGGGAGTAAAGACGGCAAACTGAAACCACCGTGTCAATAGATGGTGGTAATCGGGATCCGTGTATTGATTTGGTGGTCGAAAGAATCCTCCCGTGTCCATACTCCAGTAGGGAATTCCCGATAGCTGGTAGTTGATGGACATGGCAATTTGTCGTCGCAGAGAATCCCACGTGCTGCTGGTATCCCCCGACCAGAGTGTCGCTCCATAACGTTGTTGTCCAGCAAAGGACGATCGTGTCAAGGAAAAGACTCGGCGGTGGGGGTCTTGGGCGAGCAGCCCATCATGAATGGATTTGGATACCATTAACGAATACGTATTGGCGTACTCGTCTCCCGTGCCAAGATGGATCTGTTTGTGTCGTTGCAAGGATCCTTCCGGTTCGGTGGCATCGAGCCACAAGGCATCGGCACCAATGGAAAAGTGTGCTTGATTGGAAAATTGAAAGAATAGATTGCGCGCCAGAGGATTCCAAGCATCCATGTACTGATTGGCATTCTCAATAATGAGACCACTCGCATTCATGGTTTTGTAAAATTTGGTGTTGGTATCAAATCGAGACCAGACGGATACCATGAAATGCATACTATTGTTGTGCAATTGTTGAATCATGGCTTGAGGGTCGGGATAGATTCTGGGATCCCAATGAGGGCCCCATCCCAGATCGCCCCAATACCTCCAATCCTGTACAATGGCATCTACCGGTATCCTCAATTGTCGAAATTTGGTGGCGGCATCCAATAGCTCTTGTTGTGTTTTGTAGTGTTCCTTGCATTGCCAAAATCCATAGACCCAACGACTGTAGAGTTTAGCCGTCCCCGTCAGTTGTCGATAATTGGCAATGACACCATCCAATGTTGTTGTTGTGGTTGTGATAGATTGCTTCTTCTCCTCACTATTATTACTGCTGTGGTGGTTCCCATTGGCCACAAAGTAGTAGTCGATGAAATTGGTGGCTTGCGTTTCCAGAGATAGTTTGTTGTGGGTATTCACGGCCGTGTAGTAGACGGCAGGCATAATATTTTTGTCGGAGACAGCCAGGTCCTGCAACACGACGTGGTACTGTTGATCCTGGATCAATCCGCGGACACGGCAGGAAATACTATGTGGCAAATTGTACAAGTCAAAGTGTTCGCACACGATTGTTCTCTTCTTGCGAGGATTGTCGTTGATCGTCCACAATGAGAGTTGTACCGGTGCGGGTCGGGTTTGACACTTTTGGTAGGGACCGGCACATGCTTCGATATAGAACCAATAGTCGCCTTCCGCAGGCGAGACAAAGGATCCCGTGTAGTTGTTGGTTCCATCGTTGGTCATTTGGATTTGGTGTTGTGGTGGATTCATCATGGTTTCTCCGTACAAATCCCAGAGGATTCCATACTGACGACTCGATAGTAGAAAGGGGACGACGGCTTGCGTATTGGTTTGCACCCATTGAATGGGAGCCGAGCGATAGTTCAGAGCGCCATTGACAAACTGACCTCCTCCATAAAGAGCTTCCGTAGGTGAGGAGAGCCAAAAGTCCTGACGGACCGTGTTCTGCTTGGAATCCAAGGTGGCGACGTCTTCTGCCAGTAAGACTGTACGATCCTTGCGTTTGCGAAATTCGATCTTGCCCGATAATATGGACGCCTGGACCACGAGGAGATCAGTAGTCACAAGGAGGGTGGTATTATCGTCAATCACATCGACGTGAAAATCAATCTTTTTCTTCGGTTGGTCCACCACGACAAGACTTTGGCGTTGCTGGAGGGCTTGAGACGCCGTTGGACTGGAGGCAGTATTGTTGTTCCGAAACACACGAATGATCCCAGGAGAGATCACCTCCAGCGCCACGTGGGGGTTGACCTCCACGACATTGTCATTATCATCATTGACACTACCCCAAACCAACAACAACGGCGCCAGGAGGATTACGAGGAAGCACTTCTTCAACAGGAATGCCATGGTGTCGTATACATGTATCAACAAGTTTTATGAAGTTGACGTCTTGACCTCGAGAAAAAGATCCCCAAAGAGACTGTCGAACGGTACCGATACCGGTACCCAGAGGCAATGAGACCTGGAGTTTCGGTCGTGGATACTGTTGGACCGAAGATCCATTTTTCAAAATCAATCAGCCGAAGAACATGCATGCTCCTCCACCTCTCTATCGACAGTAGAGCTACAGCCGAACTATGCCACACTCAATCGCAACATCGCGATCAACTCGACTCTCATGTCTCTAATAATATTTTCCAAGCTTGATCAGACACCAAACAAACCGCCGGCCATTTGCTCCACTACAATGACAGCCGCCGCCGCTGCTAACAACAGCAGCATTACCCATGCCAAGTCTCGCACTCTTTGGGAGCACGGCGGCTCTTGCCATTGCCTGGAGTCGTCGCCAGCCAGAACAAGAACAACCTATCTCTATATATTTCATTTGGCACAAACCAGCCCAACGAGCGAGTGGTGGGACAAGGAATTATAACCTTCATTATTCATGCCTTGCTGGAAGCTGCCGGGGTGTCAATTTGGCGGTATCCACCATTAGCGAGACGGAACGGCATCCACTGCTGCCGGAAGGGTACCACCACATGGCCGACAGTCACTGCCTCTTATGACCGAGCCATTTCAGTATCATGAAAAGAACATGCTGGATTATCAAGCCTAGGCAAAATCGTTCGGATCATTAATGGGGAAATGCTGTCGTGGCATGGAACAGATCCAGAACAGCTAGTGCAAGGTCTACTGCATATGGTTGAGTATTTTGATGAAGACGACTTTTGAGGAATTCATACGACAAACAAGCTGATGTACGATGTACACATACAATGGCCGACCCTCCATCCATGGGAGCGAACACACACCGCTAACCCAATCGCGCACCACAAGGCACAGGGGCTCCCGACGCACCGTACGAAAAAGAGCACTTTTCCAATTCGCTGCTTCTCGGCAGCATCACCTAGCCATCATAGGCGGTCGGACATTGTATGACCGCTCATTCTGAAATGCTCGCGCACGATGTAACTCGTTCGAAAGATCATTGCCAGTTGTTTCTCATCCATGTGGCTTTAGAAAAGTTGTCCCGTACCGTAGATCGGATGATCTGGGTTGGGTTCTCCAGAGCAATAGCGTCCACGAGCAGTATTGTCACCACGCCCCAGAGGAGGATGCACTTGCTGGGGACCACCAGGAGCAAATGGATCAAACCGAGGCCCCATGCTAAATCCAGATCGGCAGTTGTCATTTGTGTTTTTCACTGCCAAACTGGTCACCATGAAAGAACATGGGGTGACCAGTGCCATAAGATTACCGGGTACCAGTACCCAAGAGGACAATGTTCTGGCCAAGACGGATGACGGACAGACGATAGTCCCCAATCTGATTCATCCAGTCAGTGCTCTTCCACGAGGATCACCAACCTTGAGTCGCAGAGCCCATTGTTTTGTTTGTCTTGATCCACCTCTAATCTATCGGTGTAACAAGACTGCTCTTTGGTTGCCCCGCCCGCCCGCTCCGAGGTGGTCAGGAGAGTCCATTCCTAGACTCAATCACGAGTCTGTGTCATGTCTCTCTGGGGCTCTGTTCTGCTCAGCTCAAGCGTTGGTGGTTCTCCCCTCAGTCCCGCGAGACTGAGATCCGGAAAAGCCACCTCTGGAACACGGAGTCGTGTGGCGTGGCTCCGAGTCTGCATGATTGAGATTTAACCTGTGACCTGACCCCTCACAGCACCAGTGGAGATTGTCAGAAAGGTATTTTCGTATGACGGACAGACGACTCGGGATCCACAATCACGGTTCGTGATTGGGGATGTGTGACTCAAATCAGATGGTTATCCGATCATCATCAGATGGCCAGGAGTACGAGAACGAGGACAATGGTCGTCTAGATGATGCAACTACAAAGGTTAGGAAGTTAGGTCGAAGAGATGAATGCAAGGAGCGACGGGATGGAACAAATGAATGACGGATGAAGGTCCATAGGTTTAGTAAAGTGGGAAAGCCCTCCAGGCCAACCATGCACTTCAGGAAGATAGATCGACGAGATCTATCTGCAGATGAAACTGCGAGAAACAGAGGATCGAAAGATCCTGGTATATGTATGCATATCGGAGCTCAGTTGTAGAGCTCACAATCTGAACGAGAGAGAAAGAGAAAACGAAACAGATAGCCAGTCTACTAGACAGTAGAGCTGGAAGGATATTGATTAAATTAGAGAAATTGTGCGTTCAAGTTCACACCTTTTCAACAGGAGATTAACAAACAAACAAATTCAACCCGGGAACCTCTCCTGGGACACTATTCACGTATACTGGGGCGAGAGCACAGAACCATGCTTACAGAGAAAGGCAACAGCCTCACAAGAAAGAAAAAACATGAAGACTTCGAGCTGTGCCATAGGAGCTGCCATAGGCTAGTTGCTTGCAATAGGTACCATGAATCCATGCAAGAGCTAAGTTTCCAAATTTTCCATGCAAACTATTTCGCTAAACTAATTATAATAATGTTCGAAGGTACCAGAAGTCAACCGATCTCCTAATCAGGAGACTGCCCTTTCAGCGTCTTGTTCGAGACATAGCTTCTAATATTAGAAAAGACATCAGGTTCCAAGGGTCTGCAATGGAAGCTCTCCAGCAAGCGTCAGAAGCCCATCTTGTGGACATGTTCCAATGTTCCAACCTTTGTGCTATCCATGCCAAGAGAATCACCATCATGCCAAAAGATATCCAGCTAGCCAGGAGGATTCGAGGTGGAAGGTTTTAGGTACTATTCTATAGTCAAGAGAGACCTGAAAAATTAACGTATAAGATAATATGTGTTCTTCTTTGTTGCCTTCTTTCGTGCATACCCATATGTCTTTTGTCAGTGCAGCCTTGACTGTTTTTTGGTTTGTGTGAGGGCGTAATTGTTTTCTTTTCGTGCACTTTGTGAATGTGACAACTCCTCTTCTAGGACCGTTAACCTGTGGTTATAAATATATATAGGTATACATATATAGATAGTAGTATACCTGGTCTGTGCAAGGATCGAATCATGCGCCTGCTGTCCCTGTCATGCCAACTCGGGTCACATACATTCTGCGGCCTGTTCGAACTCATTACTTAGCCAAAACTCTGGGAGTTCACTCTGCCCCTTCTGTAGAGTGAAACTACAGAGCAAATTCATTGTTTGGCAGAGTTTTTCGTTTCCAGTGCAAGAGAAACTGCTGCTCTCGATACTGCATGAGACGTCCTGACATTTCCGAGGAAGCTTCCGATGCCTGGGATTGTGCAAGTTGAGAACAATGCGATTGGTATTCCTCACTGGTCTTGTTGATGGCAGGGTGGGAAGCTACAGCAGTGTCCACTGTCAATGGACTTGGTTGTGGAACTGGCGACGTTGCCTTCACCACATTCGATACCCGTCCAAAGTAGTCATTTGCCATTGCACTCTCTTGCTTCGAAACCTTCATGAGACTGTCGCATTTTTCTTGCAACTGTCTCTTCCTCTTGCGTATGCCGCCAAGGTCTTTCGCAAGCTGTTCTTTCCACTCTTTGTATGTTTCTTTTTCCTCCTCGGACGTAGATTCCTTCAACAGCTTGACAACCTCAAAGAATTCCTTGGATGTAGCTGCATGATCAGCATTCGCAATGGCCAACAGATCTCTTGCATTCTTCTGGGCATGAACATGAGCTGTTGATGCCATCTGGTATGCCATCTTCTTTTCGTGTACGGGGACTCCTCTCTTGAATATGTCGTCACCACCAACATTAGCAGCTCGCTCGTGGTCTCGTTGCTGTGCTTCTTCCTCTCGAACTTGCTTCCTCGATTCTTTTGCACTTTGCTATCGCCATTGCCTGCAAAACAAGAAAGTGTCTTGCCAGATAATGGGATGGGGCCAAAGATGGCAAATGTCATAAACCCTTGGAAGACGTATTTGTCGGGCATCTCGTCTTCGGTCTTGTCAAAGTCCTTGCCCTGTTCTCTTTCTTTCTTTCTTTGTCTTGCTTCTTTTACGTGTTCTGCCTTCCAATGCAACAAACATCTTCTTTCGAACGTACACTATCATATCATCGAAGTTCTGTCCAGACGGATTGACACCAGGTTCCATGGTTCCTGAGTATTCTTTGTAGAAAACTAGTGCAATTCGGTAGTTGGCAATGCAGCTGCGTGCTCTGTCATAGATGTTCCTTGCAGTCAGCTTGCTTCCTTTGCCATCCTCGCAAATGGCTTTTTCTGTAAATCCACACTCATGGACAATAAGACGCTTGTCTGGTTGAAGATGGAGTGTTCCCTTCAACTCGAGCATATAGTCCACACCATCTGCTCCTCTTGCTGCATTGCCTTCTCGATTGCTCTCCATTCCAAGCTTGTAGAACATCTCTGTATATGGTTCATTGCCTTTCAACATGGATTGGATGTTCGATATATGGGCTGGGCTACCGTGAAATGTGTTGAACATTAAGTCTTCTTGAGACTGTTGCTTCATTCCTTCCCCTTTGTTGGCCATAACCAACTCTCTACACAAGACAGACGCAACATTGCGGAGTTCTTGTTGTACATAGCTAGGCAACGACATGACTATTACAAGCTTCTAGCTAGTCAAGAGTGCCATTGTTTGTTGTGTGTGGTGGTTGTTGTCGAAAAGCAAGAAAGATACCTTTTGCGTAAATTACGTCGATGGGAATAGAACACGTCATCAAATTGTGGGGATTTGATTGGACGTTGGGTCCAGTCTTGGACATGTTTGGTGATTGGTGAATGGGGGTGCGGAGGGGATCGGTGCGATACGATTCACCAGTATTGGTAGAATGGTGTATGGTGATTCGTGTTACGGTTGGGGTCGGCTTAACCAAATTGATTCACCGTACGGTACGGCACGGTACCGGAACCCCGAGCGCTCCTGTGCCGTCCAGGCGAGCTGCCAACCATCACACGCAAACTGCACCAACTGCAACATCACAAACAATCTTGATTCCTAAAGGAAGTTCTTTGCCATGCCTTCCTGCTACTGTTTTCGATGGTGCTGCTGCTGTTGCTGCTGTCGCCCCAAACAACAAGAGATAAGAGATGGAGGATCATCAGTAGATAAGAAGAAGATAACATCCTCTCGCCGTTGTGATTTGGTTCGCTTCTTGCTGCTTTTGATCTTCCTTCGCATCTTGCTGTTAACCAGCGACCATACTTTTTTCTACGACGTGAATGAAGAACGACGATGTGAACTCCTTCTCAATAGGCCAACAGCAATCCAATCTGCCATCAGCAGAATACGCAAAAGCTCAGTTGTTGCACAGCTGGCTTCTCCTGGCCAACAGCGTCAAATGGATTACGATCAAATTGCCATCGACAGATACCACAACGCCCTGGAACTGATATCAAAAAATGAAACCATTCGATCTCGCATAGACCCTCTACTCACCAGGAACAAGATTGTCCGAGTTCCTTTTCACCCAACAGTAGAGTATTTGGGAGTTCTGGTGGATGGTGGACGCCACTATTTTCCGATGGACTGGATAAAGGAGCTGATTGTGTACCTTCACCAACTACGCTACAACATGATTCATCTGAGACTGACAGATGATCAAGCATTCAATCTACAACTGGTCTCTCATCCTGAGCTAGCAAATCCTTCAGCCACCAGTATTGACCCAAACAATAAAACGGACAGAGGAAAGTTCTACACTGCGGACGAACTGCGAGAGCTAGTGGCATTTGCCAAGGAGCATGATATTGACATTATCCCCGAAATCAATGTGCCGGGACATGCTGGAGCATGGACTGGCATTCCAAACATGACTGTTCCTTGTGCACTATTCATCTGCAACAAAGGCTATGGAATTCCCCTCAACATTCACCATCCCCAAATCAAAAAAATACTAAAGGACATTTTGGGGGAAGTGATTGACATCTTTGACAATCCACCGTTTCTTCACCTTGGAGGTGATGAAGTCAACATGGCAAAAGATTGCTTTGCAGAGGCAGGAATGCAACCATTTGAGTATGGATCCTTTGAACGAATGCTGCAAGAGATTTTGGCAGAACTTGGTTTTCCGGAGGATCGCGTGGTCCGATGGGAGGAAACACCACAGCTTTCCAATGACTTTGATGCTAGCAGACCACGTCCGTCCTTTCGAGCGGGTGACATGGAACATTACTGGCATGATCCTCCGGGAATACGAACAGGACTTGGTGGTATGGTCATGGATTCAATATCCAAACCTCCCAGCAAGCCTTTTTTCGTCTCTCGCAAGCTCTACATGGATACAAACCATGACAGCGGCGCCATTCAGGTATACAACTCCACGGTCGACAATCTACAGCTTGACAAGGGACCCGCCTACTTTCCACTGGGCGTGATAGCTGGAGCATTTGAGTTGGATCCCAACACATGGGTGCATCGCAATGTGGCTGCCCGGCTCATTGCCGTGGCCATGGGGGCAGCACAGCTGGACCTGAATAGTACAATGGAAGTTCTTGCCTTTTATAACCACACCTGCCGCGAAACTTTGGAATTAGACCCAGTACTGTGCGATCTTCAGGGCTACACTGCTGCTACGTTGTACGACTACCGCAACACCTGGCAATTAGGACAGAATCTGTGTCGCAGCAGCATGTGTGAGAGATTGACCAAGCAGGTGCAAACGCCCTCTATGAGGCCCAAGGGGAATCGCCGAGACAGGGCCCTTCAAGAGGCGAATGATTATCTGTGGAAGACAATGAACAAGCCGCTTTTCAACAAGACTCTCTTGATGAAGCAGGAAAGCGACGTCTTGTCGCGACGTCATGGTCGTGTGCAGACGGGGGTGATTCTAGATTTGGTGAATGGAATGCAACCTGTCAACCAAACAAAGGCACTGCTTCAAAATTACCTTGCTCCGCTGGGTATATCGCTTCTACAGTTGCGTCTTCTCGACAATAATGCCTTTGCTCTTCAGCTGGACATTGTCAAAGGCGTTGGACACTCTATTCTGGTCAATACCACCAATGCGCTTCTGAAAGCCTCCGAACTTGCTTCCTTGGTCCAGCTATCGCATCAGCTAGGCATTCAGGCTTTTCCAGAGATTAGCGTGTCCACCAATGCAGGTGGTTGGGCGTCTTCTGGTATCGTCGTAAAATGCCCGGCAACCTATTGCGACGAGGAGTCGGACGTGCTGGGACCAATCGCTGTGGATGTGCGACGACCGGACTCTCTGACCATTCTCTATGCTGCCATCCGAGAGCTGCTATTCATCTTTTCCTCTGTGAATGGTACCACAGCTGGCAACAGCACTAAGAATCTGCTGCTCCATCTTGGGTCGGACGAACGGCAAGCCAGCGACTCATGCTTCCAAGAAGAAGCTCGTAGCGAGGGTAGCAGCTATTCCATTCTCGCAGACTTTGAGCAAGAGTTAACCAGGATAATGCAAGAAATGGTGGGGTTCCCGGTACGAAACATTGTACGATGGGAGAATGCGGAGAAGGAACGCTACAAAGATCGGACGGGCGACGTGACGCACTATCCGTCCTCATATCCATTTGAGCCACCTCGAGTGCGCGACAATGAGCCCTTCTTTGTGACGATCGATATTCTGGCTCAGTCGTCCATTTACGAAATCTATCAAAACACGTTGACTCTAGTAAAGCTCGAGCCATTGGCAGTGTTTCTCGAGCTCCGACGCTTGGACCGGGGAACTTGGCGTGACTATCAAATGGAGATGAGATTGGCGGCGTTTCTGATGGCTACAGGATCGTCGATTCCGGAATATGAAGATGAGAGTTTCGTGTTCCTCGAGCAGGTATCCCAAACCTGCCAAAACCTGGGATATGAAAATTGCGAGGTCACGCGGTCGTGGAGGCTACGCCAATGGTTTGGACAATCTGAGTCCAAGCCAGCCTACTTCATCGAAAGCAAACGCGTTCGCGACGGCATCTGCGAGGAACTCACCGACAGTCGAACCCTGAGAAAGGTGAGGAGTGAGTTTCTCGCTTGAGATTTATTATGTACCGGTACCGGGGTACCGGTAGTGTATGCATAGCTACGTTGACGTTCTAGCTAGTTCATGTAGTCGAAGCACGCAATCTACATGACATCTCTATCCGTGGTACGACTAACTAGCTAGCTACAGTAGCAAACAAACTGGGTCAAAAGCACCACAGAGTTGGTTTCGCGCAATCTACTTGCTTGTAGCTAGTACAGGGCTTCATTAACGGGGGTAAACAGGTTCTAATAAGATCAGTGAAAGTTTGGTAGTCTAGCTAGATAAGATACAAAAAAGAGAATTCTACTAAAGTGGCACAGCCAGCTTTGCTCGGAGAAGCTCATTATTAAACTCCAACAATAGCCATCACCACACCAGAGAAGGCCATCAAACCACTGCTAATAGACAAGGCATATTGCTGGACTACACCACTGGTACTGGTACTGCCATCTGGTGTTTCATCTGTGGAACTGGTGTTGTTGTCACTGGATTCATCCATATTGTCATCCGTGGTATTGGTATCTCCATCGGCAGTGGTTGTTACCGGTATTTCTTCTCCATCACCACCACTATCATCCTCTGGTACTTCAGTAGGACCTGAAAACATGGGATCATCCACATTGCACTCAGCGGTTTCCCCATTCAAGCTCATATCAAAGGGAAAGTAATAGGTGGTGTTCTCACATGTATCAATCACTCTTCCGTACGGGACATTGGAGCAATCCGCCTTCATTCCCACTAAATCTCCATTGGCATTCAAGCAGGAACTACAGCTGCAGCAATCAGTGTTCCCCGCAGAAATGACACAGTCTTGAGTGCCTTCATGGGTGTATCCCACTCGGACAAAGCCAAGTGGGTCGTCTTCATTTCCGGTATCGTTGTTGGGGAATCCTCGTACCCAAGAATAGTCATCTGCAAATTGTCCAATGTAGATTGTTTCATTGGCAGTTGAGGCTGGACTTGGCGTAACAGCTCCCTGGGAGACAATGCAGGCCACATCCATGGCACCATCGGATGGAGAGGTGAAATTGAAACAGATACCACCATAGGGTAGTTGCACAAGGAACGCTGCAGCATCGGCCGGATGATCCGACAGCACATGCAGAAGAAGAAGACACAAAAGGAACAAGAAGCTGCTAGTCATACTTGGAATCAGATACTACCAAGCTAGTACGTACTAGTAGTCTACTCAGGAATAACGAGATGGCTGATGGCTGTGATTATGGCTCGTGTACAAGTATTTTTACGGATAGTCTTCTATGGTCCGCATCGCGAGGATTGAGCTGATGAAGAGAGGTTCCTCGTCATCTCAGTGGTGGAGCTGTGGTGGAAGGATTGATGATTGATCTTCCCAAATTCAAATTCAAATTCAAAACCGTACAGTCGTACCGGACACTAATCGGTACTGTACTAGCTAGAGTACCAGAGTTCGTAATCAGGTTGCATGAGACACCACCACATCACCACATCTCCCCAAGTATCTTGTTGTGGTCTGAGCACCAGACGGCGACACTTCTAAGTAACCATGAGCTGGCTCGGAATGGCGAGATCTAGAAACCGTCACCACATTTTTGCCACCAGTTGCACTCAAACATACTTTTCATGTACCTACCTACCAGTACCAGTACCACAGAAGGAAGTCTGGATGTATGAGTTCAAAAGTCTCTCTTTTTGACAATTCTACATAACAGAATGTTGCTACCATGGTGTCTGTGTTGCCTGTGTTGTCTATCTTGTTCATGCTGCTGCTGCAGAAGGCGCAAAAAGGCGGTAGACTCCAAACCAAAGAAAGAACAAAGGCTCTGGAGAAGAATCGCATGTCCCAAAAATCGGTCCTTGAAGTGCTTCTACATGATAGTATGTCTGTACACATTTCCCTTTCTACAGATTGCCTATCTCATAGACTCCAGAGTACTCTATATTCCAGAAGACGATGCCATGGTGTATCGTAAAGGGATGTTTGAACAGCGACGACGAGCCATGTTGTTTCCGAATCTATCCAATGATAATACAACCCTCCAGAACCGAACGACGCTCGAAGCCTTGTATGCTCTACGACGGATATTCCAACAACCCCTCATGTCGGCCATGCAAAAACACAATCTCCTGCTGCGACGTCGCATCGATCGTTATAAAGCTGCCCTAGAGGTCTTTCAAAACGCGACACTGCTACTGGAGGCCGATCCACTCCATCCAGACAACTTTATAGAACCAACTCCTGACAACCGATTGCAGGTGATTCCTCAAGTGAAATACCTTGGTATACTGGTCGATGCCGGACGACACTATTTCCCCATTCCCTGGCTGGAACGATTGATCCAATATCTCTACCGTCTTCGCTTCAACATGATCCACTTTCGACTCACCGACGACCAATCCTTCAATCTACAATTGAAATCCTACCCGCAATTGACACTGCCATCTCCGTCCGAAAATACCACGTACACACCCGAACAATTGCGGCATTTGGTACGGTTTGCGCGGCGATACAATATCACCATGTTCCCGGAAGTGAATTTGCCAGGACACGCCGGTGCTTGGAGTGGCATTCCAGGAATGGTCCTTCACTGTCCCGAGTTTGCCTGTCGATTGGGATATGGGATTCCGTTGAATGTCAACTATACCGGCCTGCATCAGGTCGTGAAAGCGGTCCTTGCAGAAGTCATTGAGGTATTTGACAATCCACCCTTTTTGCACCTGGGTGGTGATGAAGTGCACAAATCGCACGGATGCTTTGAAGAACTGGGGTTGGAGCCCTTTCACTACGATCACTTTGAGCATCAATTGGACAAGATACTGGAGGAGATTGGATATCCGCCAGAACAAGTCATTCGATGGGAAGTCACAGGACCCAACGCATCCACACCACACTATCGAGCCGGAGGGATCCAACAAAATTGGTATTATCTTCCCGGGGAGGTGCTGAACCACAGTCACAGTCGCACCTATTTCAACTCGTGGCGGCTCTACATGGACGCCAATGATCACGACGGAGCCGCGCAAATATTTGCCCACACGGTCAACAATTTTCAGCAGCACTTGGATGGAACGGATCACATACCGGATGCCATAATCCCAGCCGCCTTTGAACTCGACATGGACTTTTGGAGGCAGCGAAATGTGGCGGCTCGATTGCTCGCCGTGGCATTGGGGACCGCCCATTTGAACATCACCAATGCGCAGTTTGGACAGGGGGAAACTGCTTTTCAGTTCTACGATGATGCGTGCATCGACCTGAACTTGCATCCCGTCATTTGTGACTTGCAGGGGTTCAACGCTGTCCCAAATGAGATCTACAAAACGAATTGGAAGGGAGTTTGGCAACAATGGATCAATGGTACTTGCGACCGTATGCAGGCAATTGATGCACAATCCAGCTCCAACAACTGGCTACCCGTGTAGCATCTCACCCGTCATGCCGTTGGAAAGAAGAAGTGCTACATTAGAATGGTTACGTAGTTTAGGGGGTTGTACCTCATTGGTAGTGTCAACCAAGCCGAGTTATTGGGGTTGTACCACACTGGTACTATAAACCAAGCCATTCAAGGAACTGTTTGTTGTGTATCTCTATTGTACTTTTCATAAAAATGCAAGGCATCGTGCTTTCTCGGGATGCTCATACCGGCATGGGATTGGACATGCCAATCTACACGATGCCGGCTACGAGGCCAAACAAGGTGGCGACGGAGGACACAATGGATAGAGGCGTCATTGCTCCGGACGTTGTCACCTTCCTCTTCTCCAATGTAACACTGTATTGGTCGACTTCCACCGACTCCATGGTATTCTTGACCTGTAAGGATCGTTGTTCCTGACGGAGAGCACGGGCTCCAGCGGCAGAACCAAACTCTAGCAGAATCACGCCGCTTCCCGTCAAATTCAAAGCATTAAAGTCGTAAAAGTCTGCCCCCAGGATCAAGTCAACCTGGCACATGTCTGTACCTGTTGGACTTGCATTCTTCCTGCACCGTTTCGACACGTAGCTTCCAAAGCTTTGCTCGACACCTGCAATGAGGATGGACTGAGAAGGGGCCAAATCGTTGGCATTTGAAATGGTCAGGTCCAAGATGTCCGCTACTCGAAACTCGGTAACCGGGTCCGGGATGGTGAAGCAAACGCTGATAACACTTCCCTGAGTGGTTGTGCCGGAACTGTTCGTCAAGGACTCTTGCGTCCTGGAATCACAGAAATATGAACTGAGTTCACCGTCAAAGTGGATAGAAGTGTCCAAGGCATCTTGAAAGGTGCTAGCCCCGGAGACGACGTATCCAGTCAACTCAACAACGCTTGTCATGAGGTCCAATGAATAAGTAAGCTTGATTTCTGAAAAGTTCACCATCTCATTTTGATCGTAGAGGCCAACTAGTGCACAGAAGACGACTGCGGCAGTACCATCACCATTGTCTGCAAAGATGGCATCATTGCTGTCAATACCTTCCACAAAGTTGAAGGATAATGCATTGTCTGGACCTGGGTTGTTTCGCACAGCTTCAGAATCCACTTCAATTCCAGAAACAGTGGAAGCTGGGAAGAATTCACCAACTTCGGTTCTTGTATCAGACTCAGAACGGCACAGGTTGCTGATGGATACTTTGATGTTTGGGTTGGCGCCACCTCCAGCACCGGTGCTGAAGGAGAATGATTGGGATGAGATGGTTCCAATATCAACACTCCAGTCAGCAATTTGAAGACTGCGGGCATCCGAAGCAGCCACACTTGACACCAAGAGGAGGGGCAACAGAAGAAGCGAAGAAAGCATCGTCATGGTGTCGTTGTTTATTAATGATTCGTTCTGGAATTTATCTGAACTTTGCCAAAGAAAGTAAATGGGTCGCTCGTCACTTTCCCTCAATCTTTCAGTTTGTGACCCTTTGTATCCTTGCTACTGTACCAGTACTCCAGTACCTTACAAGCGAATTCTTCAGCTCGTCATCACTGGTGATGGATGGCATACCGTAGATAATAATTGTGGATGGTTTCGGGTTCTTTCGGTTGCGGGTTCAAAATGTCATGATGTTGCCCAGCAAACCATCCCCTCACTCGACGCGATCCGAGCGTTCTTCAGCAGGACCGGATGGCACCTTTAGAATTTCGACTCGACTCGACTCGACTCGGATCAAATCAGTCGGCACAAAACCGAAGCAGCGCGCGGAAATTTCTACTACTAGCTACTGGTAGTGGTAGCTTCTACCTCTACACAGTACCAGGTACCGGCGAGAGCTAAAAGGAAGCAGCAAAGAGAGAGGAGGGATAAAAGGCTGTGGGTAAAGTAGTTTCAAAGACACCTGCTTTGAGTAAGAAAGCTTTCAATTCTAAGAAAATGCCGCCTGAGCCGAGGACCAACATTTTTCATAGAGGCGGCGGTAGCGATTCATTCGTCCCCAATGAGGGTTACAAAGTTTGTGATCAAGTCTATGTTGTGCGTGAGCTTGGCTTCCTTGAAATTGACCAATGAATCACCTGTTTACCGCGACATAATCGGTTAGCATCGTCCTGGCGCCGAATGTAACACTGCTATCGCACGCCTGCCTCCCAGGCATGGTCGTTGCTTGCCATTGATCGTTGACAACTTACCATCGTACAATCCAACTTCAACGCAGAACTGAACAGTTGCAGTCTTGTCTCCGTTGTCCTTGAATATATCACGATTTTCGCTAATGTTCTCTTCAAACGAGAAGGCAATGGAGTTTCCATCCCCAGGATTGCTTACCACACCTTCCGCATTCACTCTGATCCCAGGGATTGTAGACGTAGGGAAGAGCTCACCAATCGTGTTCCTTGTCTTTGACTCTGTGCGACAAAAGTCTTTGACCTTGATCTTCATGTTTGGATTCTCTCCTGCTCCTTGACCTGTTCCAAACTCAAAGGACTGGGATGAGATGGGTCCGATAGAAACATCCCAGTCTGACATGGCGTGCGAAATGGAAACCAGAACCGATAGATAGAAGACAGCAAGCAACTTCATTGTCATCGTCGTCGACACCTGGAAGGATGTGTTTTGGCGCGAAGAGATTTGGCTGTGTCACTGCAAACTGAGTTTAGGTTTCGTCGAGTCTCTGCAACCGCTGATGATCGTTGCAGCTTCTTCCTTTGGTGGACTTCGCATTGCTAATGCTGTGTGCAATTCATTTCCAGTGATCGGTCATTGGGTAGAGAAACCCTCATCAACATCATGGAATGCAAGAGATGATCATCACCGGTGAGCGGCAACCGTCCTCTGTGTCACCTGTGTTGGGTCGTCTTCTGTCGTTCCACAAGCAAGTCTCAGCTTTTCGCGCCATTTTCTTTCTTCCCGTTTCGGGTGGGCCGTTTTCTGAACATGGGAAAAGCACCTAGCGAACGCTCACATTTTTCAACAAACTGAAGCTCTGGAACTCATCTTGTTCCACTAGCTAGACTAGCCTAGTCAGCTTTATGTATGCATACAACCGTAGTAGCAACCGAATGATAGAAATAGGGGTGTTGCTACGACATGCTGGGAACCGCACCCTATTCACCTTCCGGTACCGGTACTTTGATTGATCAGAGAGGACTGCTAGTGGGATCAAGGGTGATCTTTCGATCTTTCATCAATTGTTATAGTCTACTTCAAATTATGGCATGTTACTAGCTAGTCAAACAGTCCTCCATGTTTTCGGAGGTTTCCTCGTGAAATGGTTTCTTCTCCACCTATCACATCAACGGCTGTTACTTCACCTTCAATGGATATGTCGGAGCTTGGGTCTGGAAGATCCGTCAAGTTGGCTGGGATTTCCAAAGGATAGAAAAAGGGCAGGACCGCCTCACATTCCATTATCTTCCCGGCTCCAGTATCCGGAACGTAGAATTGCGTTTGCAGATTGGAACAATCGGCCGATACAGTGGCATTCTGCGCTTCACCCACAAAGAGGCCCAAATCGCAAACGTCACAGGAAGCACAGGTTTCATTTCCGACGGTAATGGTACAATTCACGGCATCTACATCCATTTCGATAGTGACAGTAGGGCCGTATTCGTAGATTCCATAGCTGAGAGGTCGGCTCTGGGGAAAGTATCCTTCAGGGAGACCACGCACAAACGTGAATTCCCAGTTGTATCGTCCGACGTAGCCCTCTCCATACCAATACGAGGGAGACTCAAAGTATCTGGTTCCTCTGCAAATTTCCTGGGTGGAGTCGTCGCATTCTACAGAAATGTCATGAGATGCAGCGGCATCAGCCGTGCCCACCACAGCGGCGAAGAGGACAAGAAGGATGGTAGCATAGGAAGACAGCATGGTGTTTTCTCTGAGAGATACAATAGAAAGAAATTGTGGTTGTCAAAAAGGACGAAAAGTGATCCGGTGAAGAGCGCATTCCGTTCAGGGCAAGCAGGCAACTTCGTCATTGCTTTTTGGAGGGAAGAGGGAACGACATTTTAATCGCAGATTTAACCCACGACTGAATGAGCAACATCCGACCTGATCGAAGAGGGCCGCGTTATGCCCTCCCGATGATTGTTTTGCCCGGTCGCGATTTCGTGCTTGGCTATACAGAGATGGAACTATAGAGCTATGGAATCATCGCAGCAAAGCAACGGTGTCAATGCATCTCTTGGGAGAATGGTGGAAGCGATGATCATGGAGTGCATGGATACAACTATGCTCCGATTTGTCCTATCTAGCATGCGTGTACCGAAGATACTCCGCATGCTACAAGTCCAGAGATCGGTGAGAACAATCCCGACAGTTTCCGTTGACGCGGCGCGATGCTTGTCTTGTTCTTGAGCTTGTTCCTGCCAAACAGGACACGATGACAAGTGGCTTCGGTTGGCATTCCATATATCTTCGCCGTAAACCTCGTCAACGGAAAACGAGGAGAGACGGAAGCTCTACATCCATGGTTCTTTGTGCTAGCTGAGGGCTCTCACCACTAAACCTGGCTAGCCACTGCGGGGGCTAAGAATTCCCACAGAACCGGGACGTCACATTCACTCACCGTTGTATTCCTAGCATCTACCGTATATGAAGTCACCCAACGAAGAGGAAGCAGCTTGCTCAAGAAAGCCCCAGCAATCAAGGCCCGGAATGGCGCGTGTTCCGTTCGGTTCTAAATTGCCACAACATGATTCCGTTGTTGCTGAATCAAGGCTTGCTGTGGCTGGATGGGAGCAGTTTGCATTCAGGCAAAGCCTCTAGAACTTGTGCAAATTGCAAGCCTTTCTCCTGAAGAATGCTGCTTATTGCCTTATCAACTCCATTTTTCCAAACGGACATCATTGAAGACAAAGCCATGAATCCCAAGTGACATCTTGGATTTGGACAGCTTGACTGTATGCATTCCGTGGTACTGATAAGGCACAACTCCATGCCCCCAACTCCATACAGCAGAGCAGCATTGTCTACACCAATTGAGGCAGTTTTCCTCGACCTCGAGTGCTTGTAGATCTAGAGCAACAGTACGCCCCTGTGACGGCCGGAGGTTGGAAGAAAAGACAGGTTCCAAGTGTGGCCTTGGCTATCTAGCTAGCTAGTGTTAGTCGGCACAGCAAAATTCATAAATGCACATTTGATTAAAATGAGGAGGGCTCCCCAGAAACCCACCGTGCATCGTCAGTAGTGCTGATTGAACGATTTGGTGGAGCAGATATTTGCTAGCTACTAGCAGTGTGTTAAAACTCAGATCATTTGTTCACCTTTAAATCTTAAAACTGTAAACCACTTGCATTTGAATTCTGTGGTGCTTTTCTTGGTGATGGCAACAGTATCCACAAAAACGGATACACCATTCTCTTGTATAAAGGTGATCAGTGCAGAAACCTCTGCCTAACCTTCACCGCCTCTAGAAAGCTCCAGCCTCAGCAAGCTCCAAATCTCCAGCAGCCATGACATCATAGACGCAATGATCCTTTTGGTCTCCCCAGTGCTTGCAGACCTTCTCCGCAGCTGTCTGGGCAATCGATTCACCAAGACGACGGCCCACCTGTTTCAAACTAGGCATATTGCAAGTGACCGGGTGCTGTGGAAACCTGTTTATCTGGAAGAGCTTGGGCTCGCTTTCCAGAACCTGCCATTCATTTCCAAAGGCATTAGCATCTGTAAGGGCAGTTCCATTGCGGGCAAGCCACTTGCCAGTCTTGTAGTCTCCCAAGAGACCCTTGCTATTTTCATACTCCAAAGGGGTGGCACCAACTGTCTTGATGCTGAGAAGGTCCTTGAAGGACTGGAGGACAATCTGCTTGCCCCGGCCAAGCTCAATCACAAACATATCCTGCTTGGAGCTCTTCTTCTCGTGCTTGATGGAGTATTTGTCAAATGTGTCCAGCTCAGCATTGGAGATTCCATTCACCATGTAAGCACCATATTCACCAACCTCCAAAGTGTCCTCTCCAATGCGGACAGCAGCAGACTCAATGTAAGAATACTGGTTGCGTGCCTTTGTTCTAATGTGGATGTCCAAGCCAGTTCCCTCATCAAACTCAGGGCTGCTGATAAAGACCAAGTCACACTCTCCATGGAAGTCAAACCACTCATTCATCCATGTCTAATCATGAACAAAGGAGAGAACACTTGGTTAGTCCACAAAAACAGTTTCATCAACTGGGCTGATCGTGGCTTGCTGAGTCGTACCTTAAAGTGTGGGTCTCCCATACCATAAGCAGCTCGAAGCTGTGCTTCCGTATAACCCAGGGAAATGTGTACCTGGTAAACACCACCATTACGAATGCCTCCAACCGGGGAACCAGACATTCTGTCACCCACAGCAATGATGTATGCACCGGCAGTATTGAAGGTGTGGGTCAAGTAGGCGTCACCACTCGAACGTGAGCCAGGATCAGTTGGATTATTCATACGTTCATTTTGTGCAATTTCGTTTCCACTTGAGTCATACAGAGTGAGAATTGGATTAAAGCGACTAGAATTGTCAATGTCAAAGATGGAAGCAATCATTCCTGAATTGGGGACCACGAAGGAGTAAAAGTCACGAGTACTACCATCTCCAGTACCCTCAATTGTTACCCAAGGAAGTGTAGCAGAGTTTGCAATAATAGGATTGTACCCAAGAGTGAAGGCAGTGACAGGGATTTGCTGCAAAGTCCAAATAGAAGTTCAATGTGAGTGGAAGAACATATAATTTTGAATTGATGTCAAAATGAGGACAAACCTGAGCAGAGTTAATGTCGTTGTTGGGTTCTAGTTCTTGAATGACAGAAGCCTGAGCCACTGACACGAGAGTCAAAACTGCAATGATGAAGGAAAACTTCATGGTTACAATAATAGTAAGCTGAAGAAAATCTGTCTTCTGGATCAAGATTGTGAGATGTGAGAAGGATAGCTGAAGGATGAACGAGATTGGAAGGAGTGTATGATTGGCTTTCCTCTGGATTGAGATTGTGACAAGGACAGATCGAGCTGAGGTTTGTGTTGGAGCGTTGGAGCTGCGGTCTTGAATTGTACCGGCGACTGATGACATGACATTGTGTCGGCGCCATTGTATCGGTGGCATTTCGAACCGTTGGCTCCGATTCTACCGGCTTCGGCAATGACACTCGTGATTCCGCAGTAGGAGTACAATAGTAGTTTCGAATCAATCACGGGTACGATTGGGTGCTAGGTACACCTTTTGGGGTACGACCATTTAAACTTTTGTATTTCTACTTACTTTAATGTCCGGAACGCCAGTCAAATTCAAATTTATCTAATTGATTGATTTAATAAAATCATTCAATCAAGGAAGAGGGGACGAACTTGATTTTTAGACAAAAATGAAATTGATCTGGGCTACAGTAGCTGGAGATACTAGGTAAAGCGAACGTGAAGCAAATCTGACTCTCTGTGACTTCTTTAAGTACCATTCTACACTATCTACATGACTCGAATCTTGAATAATAATCTGTCCAAAACGAAAACGAAAACTCAAAAGACTGTACTAGTACTCGCCTGTATGATGTCTTCTTGCCGGCAAGACACCACGGATCCACGTTCGAGCCTTCGTTCAATACTGCAGCACTCCGGAATGCTCAGGATGCTTCTTGCGGTCGACGGATTGATGACTGCTTTCACGGGGCGACCATGACGCTCGCCCCAACAGTCAATCACCAAAGAAGTGCGGATCCGCAGTCCAAAAAAAGAGTGGTTTGCCACGGAGCTGTGTAACCTCGGCAGAAAGGTTTCAGTGTAGAAGCAGATCCCCCTATTAGCTAGCTACAGGAACGTTGTGGAATGGGCAGTCGTGCCTAGACAAGATGGTTTGGAATTAATGCAATACACGGCTCTTAGCCTTATTCGCGACTCGATCCTAGATAGGGTTTGAGTTCGACTCATGACTGAGTCTCTCGTGAATAGTCATTCGAGACAGGGTTCTCAATGACCGCGCTAGTCATACTAGGTTGATGATGAAACATCGCTCTAGATATTTAGCCAGCGTGGAGTACTTCCACGCTACTAGATCCAGGCTAGACAAACCTTCCACGCGTTCCGTTTTAGGATCGTGGAGAGACGTAGGATTACTACCACAACCTACTCTATCACACTTTATAGTCTCCCGCGGGAAGCCAGATCTACGATCCTTTGATGATGATCTCTCTCGTTGATTAGTTTTCATAGCTTTCTAATCTCTCTCATAACTTTCATTCTCTCAAACTCAAAACACTCGAAAGATCTTTACACTAGCTTTTAGCGTAGTGCATTTTGTTAACAAACACAATAGCTCTCAGCTACCCTCAACCTATTCCTTCACCATGAAGATGGCTCAAGGAAAGCATGCGTTCCGCAACTTCGAGAAACAGTTGCGTGACAAACCCATTTTCTTCATCAACTTTTTGGTATGAGAAATCGGCAATGATTTTGATATCATCACCTGGCCTAATCCTCAGATAGAGTTTCTCCATCCAAGTGATTGAATTGATAGAGGAGTTGTCCTCATTGTCAGAGTTTCCTGATGCGCTGGCAAAATGGTTGCGAAGTTTGCAAGTGGTGTGCAAGAGTATCGTCGATCTCGTTGTTCTTCGTCATTTTCGACGGTAGGAAGAATGGT